GAGGAGATGGATTGTTTAAGTTTAGACTTTGGAGTTAGAGATATTAATATTTGTTTACTTGTATTTGAATATTAGCCTAGGTTGGTTTGGGAAGTCCGGGGGGTGGGGGGATGGGTTATAACATTGTGTAATATCTGTGATGTATTTCTTTTTTTTTTATGATAAAAACAATAAAATTTTATATTGAAAAAAAAAGAAAGGTCATAAAATGGGGCAAAGTTCTCTTAACAACTGTTTTGCTTAGCAACAGAAATTTTGGGTGGTCATAAGTCGAGAGCTACCTGTAATAACATAAGGGCGCCTTTGAAAATTAAGGGCTATTTTGAGTTGAGCTCAGCTCCTGGTACATTCATGACCTCAGAATGGAAGTGGCTTGTCATTGCCTTTTTCCAGAATGCTTGTTTTTATCAATGCTAGAATTCCCTGATTATTTCTCTCTTTTCTTTTTAATATATTTTATTGATTTTTTTTAGAATAACAATCTTTAGTGCTTAGTAAACAACGTGTTGCCAGGGTTCATATATTTAACAACAATCAATAATAGTTAATTTCTATGCTTTCATAATCAACATACTAACTAGAAATACCTTTCCTTGGTCTTCTCTTTTTCCAATAGTGTTCTCCTTTTACCAACATTGAGCAAATACAGTTCTTAGTACTTTCAATACATACAAAGTTGAATATAAACATTTTTCTAATACTTAACAATAACATCAGTATGTAACATCTTTTCTAATCAGCTTATTTTACAGTTGCATTTGCAGAAAATCATCTTATGTAAATTGCTATAAGTCCTGTTTTCAAAACTCTTATTTAAGCTTAGTTTCCCCTCAGTATTCAAAACATTTCTTGTCAGTTATAATTTTCTCAAAATTGATTACATTTAAATATCCAAAACATTTCATACATTTAAATCATCCCAATATTTTTACATTTCCCACATCATAGAAAAAAATATCATACTACTTATAAATCACATTTCTCTTACTATAGAACCCTTTCATATCCAAAATTTGACTATTCTTTTAACCATATTCAGACAAATGTTTGGTCATATGATACTCCATCTGGTATGCCAAGTCATCTCTCTTAAATCTGGTTCTCACCTATTTTTATTTAAGCTAAGTTTCCTCTCAGTATTCAAAACATTTCTTGTCAGTTATAATTTTCTCCAAGTTGATTACATTTGAATATCCAAAACATTTTGTTCATTTAAATCATCCCATTATTTTTACATTTCCCATATCATAAATATTATACTACTTATGAATCAAATCTCTCTTACTATAGAACCCATTCGTATCCAAAATTTAACTATTCTTTTAACCATATTCAAACAAGTGTTTAGTCATGTAGTTCTCCATCTGATAAGTCAAATCATCTCTCTTGAGTCTGGCTCTCGCCTTCTTCTCTTGCCTAGCAGCTTTCCAAGTCAGTGTGTTCAGCTTGCCATATAATTATTCCTGTATTTTTATAGGTGTTGTTAAGAATGGGAAAGACAAATTGAGTAAGGTGCTTTTGAGGGGGAGTTTCATCCATTTATATTCGTTAAGACGCTTTCACTTTTCTTCTCCCTCAATTTCTCTTTCCTCTTTTTGTCTTCCAGACTCTAGTGGTTCTCCTGATAGCTCTATTGTCCATTTTGTCAAATCTTCTTTCTTGTCTTCAGGTTTGCTTTGAAGTCCTGAAAGATAAAATGTCTTTTCCATTTTCAATATTATAGCAAAATCTTGCAGGTTTTTCTTTGTGTTAAACTGCAATTTTCTTCATTGGTTGCCTCCATCTTTGGGTCATTTTCCTCTGGTTTTTATTCTATTATCTGATTTATTTATTCATTTTTTGTTACCATTTTCTGAGAATTTTTTAATTGTGTGCTTAGGTCAAGAATGTGCTCATTTATATCATCAAAATTATTTTTAATCTCATTATGATTTGAAGCAATTGTCGTTTGTATTAGTTGTAATATAGCATACATTTTCTCCTGGAAGATATTTGTCTTGTCTTGAAGTATTACTCCTGCAGATCTCTGATGTTCCAGACTGGGGATTTTA